ATTTAAATTTATTAATGTTTATGCACATATTATCAATGACAGAGGCTCACTGTTGTTGGCTGGGGTCTTGGAAATTTTTGTTAAATCTTTGTCTGTGAAACTGACTGTCTCAAAATTCAATTTTTCTTCCCTTCTGAAAATTGCTATTTTTATGTTTAATGGTTAATTTTTTTGTTAAAAGAAAATGGCAATAAAGTAGATGCTAAATAAAAAAATTGTTTGAAATTTCTAAGTTAATAAAAAATAATAAAAACAAAAGTTTTACATAAAATTAATTTACATATTTTTAATTTAATTTCTTACTTAAATTTATTTTACTTTATTTATTATAAATAATTTGAGAAAATTCAAATTTTTCAAATATCTAGTCAGAGTGTATTTACTAAAATTATATTTATTACTGAACATAATATGTCTATGTCCAACAAGTTGAAATACATCTTTTGAAATAAAATCGTCAACTGGAAGATTAATAATTGGTATAATCTAGACCATAATTATAAGTGGGATGAAATTAAATTTAGTTTTTGAATAATTTGTTAATTAATTTTCTTCCGTATGGTTATAACGTTCATAGTTAATCAGGTGGCAGTAGCCACAATTTTAAATTTTAACAATACTACTTTTCAAAAATGATCAATCTTGATCAACTGTGTATGAAAATGAATGTTGGATTTGGTTTGAAATAATATATGAGGTTTATCATTTTTATAACGTAAATCTGATTTTTTTTTTCATTTTGTAACTCCCGTTCAAAAGAGAGAAATATACATCATCTTTTCTTTTCTTTTTTTTTTTAAATTTATCCAAAAGAATGTGTAATCCAAAAACTAAATTTTTGGGATTAACGGGGCGAATTTTACAACAAATAAAAAAAAGTATAGGAAAGTCATGAAAGTTGAATCACGTTCCTCCGTTCTTTGTATCGGCCAAAATGGCTCTCAGGTACCATAATACACGTGCTCTATTTCCACCGTACATACCAGGGAGTGGCCAAATCCGCGGGGATTGCTTTTCTGATTGATCGGCGCACACGATGTAAAAATTTAATTCACGGAAGCGTCACGCCGAGCAAATCAATTGGCGGCGTCGACACAAGAAAGCATTCGTATTTTATTTATAAATATAAGGTCGTGCGGGAGTTAGAGGGAAAAATAGCTGTGTGAATAGCAGCAGTAAAGTGCGCCTCTCGGGGGCTTTACACACACAGCTCTGGTATTGAGAGCTGGCAGAGAGAGAAAGACAAAATCTCGGGGGAAACGAGTGAGTCTATTTTTCTCCGAGACCCACAAACGGCGGCTCGTCAAAACAGCTGCACCAGAATTTGGCTAATTGAAGCATGAAATTGAACCAGCCGAGTTTGCTCTTGCGTCTGGCGGCCGTGTTTGCTTTTCGGGGCCGCGTGCGTCCGTCAGTGAGCGGAATTAGCCGCTGAATTTATCCAACCGACGTTGAATCTCCCTTTTATATCGATAATAATTCTATTTGCTCGTCCCTGGCCAGCCGGCCGGCGCACAATCAGTGCACGACGTCATTAAAAGTTTTAATTGGAGCGCCGCCGTCGTTTTTTGCACAGCTCAGCGTGATTTTGCGGCCGCGATTTCATCCGCGAAAAACGTGAAATTGAAATGAATGTACAAGAGAATGAAATGAAGGAGTTATCATTGTATCAAACTTATACATTGATGTATGGATGAAAGCTTTTATGTAACCAAAAATATAAATTGCATGAACACGTAAAATCAGTTTTATTTGTGCGGATTTTTTGGTGTAGAAAGTCTTTGAAAACAATTTAGTTTAATCGTTTTATATATGAAATGAAATTTGTAAATAACGTGACAAAATTAGTTAATTGGTCTTCCGTTACTTTACGATTTTATATAAAATCCATAGACGTTTTATTACACATGTCACATGTCATGCCATTAATTTAGCATCTTCAAAATTTTTTCTGCATCACCTAGCAGTAATAATTATTTGCAATAAAATTTACAATACATTAATAATTTTTTTTAACTTTTAAATTTTATTTTTATATTTTATATTTTCCTTATTTTATTTTTATTAATATTATTATTTTATTTGTAATAAATTTTTTTAATTAATTGAATGTTATGTGCGCATAAATTTTAAATAAATTAAAAAATCCATTTTTGCTTTAATACAATCTTTGCAGATTTTTTATTTTATAAATAAACCAGAGCTGCTTGCTATTTTAAATTGAAGTAAGAAAACGTCAGTTTAATGGTCAACAGGATTAAACTTGTGTAACCTAAAATAGCTAAATTCGTGTTTCAATTTCATTTTATTAATATGATATATAATTTTAAAAAAATCAAAACATAATTATGCAATTAAGGAACGAGAGTTACATTATCCACTACTTTTGCGCTAATTATATTATAATTATTAATCTTAAATTTTCTAACACTGGGTGATAAAAATCATTCTTAATATATTTACCATAGCTTATATGTATGGCTGCACTTTTAGTTTATTTTTAAATGTTGTTACTTCACACAATCATTTTTTATTCAACATTCCTTTAATTCTGATACAATATTGGAATCTAAAGAGAAATTTCATATTTTACTGAAGCATAATCCCTGTGAAGAAAATTAAAATTATTAATATTCATTTAATCTTGTTGGATTCATCTGAATTCTGTTTAAATTCATCCTTATTTTTTCATTTTCAGTGAATTAATTTTTCAAGATCGTGTTTAAATTTTGTTTATTAGGACTTGCAATTTTCCAATTTAAATTATCCGGCGTGAACTCTGTTAAACTTTACTCCTCTGGCCTTGTGAATCGCGATTTAATTACAAAATGAGCAATTCTGGTCACGTTGCGCAACTTTCTCGCAAAGCGATGATGTAATTCAATTTTTATCTCCTGAATTCGCCGTTAAGACAATGTTCGCCAGCTAATTGGCATGCAGCAAACAGGCTAGCGGGCGAAATCTAATTAACCCAGCCCGCCTTGGCTCGTCTCGGCACGGCTTCTTTCGGAAAATTCGGGCCTATTGGCACAATATTGACAATCATTACACGACGAGCGCTCGATTATCAAATTTGGCCCGCTCGCTGCCTGGCTGCTCTTTATTAGCTATCAGAGTTTAATGTGTCGTGTAATAAAAGTACTCGCGCTTCGCTGCTATATAGAATTCATGAAGCTCTCACGCTTTTTACGCCCGGCACGAATAAGAACAAGGCGAAATTGCAGTCAAACACCGGGCCATCTAATCTAATATTATCCCTTTCGCATCTTGTGCTCTTTTCCAAACTAGCGCTCGCTGAGAGCGAGAGACGAGGAATTCCAAAGTGCCTCTAAAGAGATTGCTTCTCTGAATCAAACGCAAATGGAAAGATGCCCGAGACGCTCTTTGTGCCGGGAATGCAACTCCAACTTTTCTCCTCTATGTGTATCTGAGCATTTTATTCCCTTTTCCTTTCGCTTTGCGCCGCCAGAGAGCGATTGCAAATTTGTCAGATGACATATATTGCGAATTTCTTCCTACTTCAAAGGGTTTACTTTGAAAACTAGGTACATGGTGCGCTTTATTAGATTCCTATCGATTCGATTAAATTTCCTTTCATGCAGCCGCCATGTCAATGACCCAATTACATTTTCATTCAATGAGATTTTTAAATATTTTGAAACATCAACTATTTTTGCACAGAAACGTAAAAAAATCCCGCATAATATAAAATTCACATGGAAAATTATTCTTTTCCTAGATTTTGAAATATAAAAAATGGCAAATAAAATAATTATAAGAACGTGTGAAATTTAATTGGGTTAATAGTTTTCACAAATTCATTTTTCATAACGTAAAATTTAATCTTAATACTTATATAATTATTTAAGTTCCCTTGATAAGTCCTCTATTTCTTGTTCTTCTCACGTTGTGTTCACCCTTCAGCCGCAGTGCGATCGGCCAACTTAACCGTAATGGCGCAAAATCATAAAAAGGTTGCATTGCAAATCTTCCACTTTACGATTTTCTCGCAGGGCGCGGCCATTCCTTGCAGATAAAACCAGGCGACCATTTTCCGAGGGCGCCCTTCTCTCCGTAATACCACCCCGTCCGCTCGACTAGGTGTTATTAACTTGAATTTCTCGCACCCGCCGTTCTCAGAGAGAGAATAGGGTGTGCCGAATAAAACTGCGAAATAGAGAGAAAGGGGCTTAGAACGCACCTAGCCGGCCGCCGAAATGAGGGCCTGCGTGAGAGCGAATAAAATAATGGCCACGAGTCCCAACTCGCATATCTTTCTCAGCCGCGACTCCCTCGAGCGCAAGGCCCGACAATGTATGGGTTGTTGGAAAAGTAAGTTTCCTCCGGGAGGAAAATATTTTATGGCCGGGAAAACATTTGCATGGTAACTCAATAACTGAATAAAGTGCTGCATTGTGTGAAGTGAATCTAACTTTTTTTTTAAAATAGGCACGCTATTTGCACTATAAAGATGAAGAATAATACATTTCCAAAAAAAGAAATAACATGATAAAGACAAAATATTTGTCACTTGGTTATTATTTGCAAATTACAATAGATAAAAGAAAAATGCATGTTTTTTACGTTACTTTAAAATTTATTATTTTACTAAAACATTGTAATTTAAATTTGTGTGCAATAATTAATATTTTGTTGCTTATAATGCACAATTTACAATGTTACTACAATAATTAAATTTATTTCATAGAAATTAAAAATAGCTAAAATAAGGAAATGCACTCATTATCTGAATATTATGATAATGACATGCATACATGTTGTTTTAGATCTATATTTGGCATGAATGCATTGGAGGCGAGTTCACATTTTTTATGGCTATAAAGTAATTTATAAAAATACTATCACGCGATCATGTTTCCACGCAAGATGAAATTTAAAACAGCGTTTAAATATAATTTCTACTTAATTAAGAGCAATACGGAATAAATTGTCAAACAGTTCTTCACTCACTAATCGATTCTCAATTTGTTTTTTTTTAGTTCCACCGGACATCAAGGATGACCAGACGAGTTCGGACGTCACAGTGCAAGAGGGCGAGAACGCGACCCTCACTTGCAAAGCGACCGGCCATCCATCACCACGCATCCTGTGGCGCAGGGAGGACGGCGAGAGCTTGCTGATCAAGAAGGGCGCCTCCAGAGGTGAGCTGAGTACGTACCCCTTTGACTCGATTCTCTGCTCCCTCTTCCCATTCTCAGCCACACGGTTGTTTCGGACCGAGTGCACTTGTCAACGCTTTATCGCTTTTTGCGCGCTTCAAGTCGGCGCGGGCCATAAATCTCGCACTCGCCTGTTGAAATGAAGTGCCAAGGGAGAGAAAGGCGCGAAGACGTTTTTTTGCTTGACACTAAGTGCCGGCAGCATGATTTATTTAAGCCTCTGAAGACTGACAATGAGCAGCGCGTGTGATTAATTTTTGTTTTCATTTTTAAACTTTCACATTGTTTGCAACGATAATCACTTGATTAAACTTGCAAATTTTATTAAAACTGCTGCACACAGGCGTCCAAAATCATAAAATAAGGATAAATCGTGACGTTTTAAGCCAAAAAAGAGCCTTTTATTTAAACAAAATCATCGAACAAAAAACAGATGAAATTTAGAAAAAACGACTGGATAATTTTTTAAAAAAAGGGATGCATAATTTTTTATTAATTTGGATTCAATTGCTTATTTTAAAAATTTCCTAAAGCCAATTATGATAATGTAAAACTCAAAATCAAATTTTCGTGAAGTAAATTTTTTGAATTGGGCGATGGACAAACTGAATATTCAGTATATCCTCCCAAAGCACACTTAAATTACTACAAATGAAATTTTTAATCGCAAAAGTGTTGCGAAATATTTAAATTATTTTGTTGTAATTTGAAACTTTGAGAAGTTTAATATTGCATAAACGATATATTTTTCAACTCTCGCACTTCCGTTTAAGCTCTTAAAAAAAAATCGACGGTAATAATAATAAGACCTATACGCATTACATAATTTTGAATACACTCTTAAAATATCTTTTCAAAGCAGATCTTGTTAACATGGCTTATTTTATGTTAGCATAAATTTAATTATTATAGGATTATTCAATTATTGTTTTTTATTACTTAATTAAAGACGTACATTACCACATAAGTAACTTAATAAGTTATTATGTTCAGTAATTGCTCGCTCAAACCTAAATATATAAAAATGATTTAAATTTTTTATGCCTTTATGGTTTATTCTAGATAAATAGTTCGCAGTAAAATTGTAATATAGTATATTTCCTTAAAACTAGTAAAATTGTTAAATATTTATATAATTTAAAAATAATATTTAATAGAAAATTTTTTTATCCAAAAAATTGAAATAATAAACACAAAATTAAATAAAATTTTTTTAGTATTACACTAAATATATTAATTTTTTTTTAAAAAGCACGAATTTTTGATATTCCGATGAGCTGATTTAAATATATATAATCACCTAAATTACTTGAACAAAAACAATAATCTTTAATTAATTGAAAACAAAAATACAAGATTTTTCTATTTACGGAATCTCTGAATAATCTAATCTTGCCAACAAAAATGTACATTTCTTGCGGTTTCGTTGCCTAGCCACTATATTTACTCTCCCAAGCGGCTCTCCCTCGAGGTTAAAATAAAAGATAAATGGGCAACCAGCAGCACGCCGATCTCTCGCCCGGTGTCTAGTTTTGTCCTGCTCGGCGGGAGGCGGTGAAAGAGCTGCAAAGTTAACAACAGCCTGCTCTAGGCGGAATGATTGCGGTCCGTGGCGGCTGCATTTGTGCAATAAATTATAAAAAAGAGAGGGACGGCGAGAGAGCAAAACTCCCTAACAAGGAACACACAAGCCGTGTTTTTGCACTGCACCGAGCGACGTGTATATGCAACCAGCGCAGCAAACGAGCTTAAAACTTGCCCGAGTTGCTTGTAGTCGGCGGCGCCTTGATGAAAATTAATCTTCTCTCTCCTTCCCGTCGTTGTGTTGCATCGCAGGGAGTTTAGTTTATTAAATCTGCTGCGGCGACGGCGGGCAAACGGGGATTTCGAGGGAAGAAAATAATATTGCGCTGCGAGTTCTGCGGCCAGAATCAGATTTGTCTTCTCTTGAGACGCTGCAGGCAAGAAATTAAGAAATTTGTAAAGTTTTGAGAGCCGGGAGAGTTGTTTTATTTAAGTGGTCTGTGCTCAAAGTTTGAGCAACATTTTGACGTTTCAGTCAACTTTGATTTTAATTAGAATTTATTTATCCCGAGATATTTTTTATTTTCCGCAAGAAATAAATTCCTTTAAAAATTCATCGACTGTTTTCTTTTTTTATTGTCAATCTCAAATTAGTGAAATTTTCTATGATTGCCAAAATGGCCTTTCTCCAACTCATTTAAGCATTTTTGTTTGATTTTTTTTTTTTTTTTTTTTTTTTAATTAAATTGGTTTTTAGCCAATTCTACTAAAATTAGCTTTTTCCCATTTCACTAAAAATAGCGTTTTTCCAATTTTATTTTGTTCATACATACTTCAGCAGATTAAATTTCTGTCTCGCATTTATCTAGAGCTAAAAATTATTGTGAATTTGAAAATACTTTTTCTTCCATTAATGGTACATTGATGCAGATAATTATTTTAATCTTCTTTTCCATTGTGTAGACTCCAGATACGGTTTTATCATTATTCCTTAATAAAAAATATAAAAAAAACCAGCACTAAATCAGGAGCTCAAATTCTCCATTCACTGTAATGTAATTGCCTGAGGTGCAGTATCTGCGCTCAGCGCAGTGCAAGAATGGGAAACTCGAGGACTGCAGCATAGTGAGGGAAGAAAGCAATTTGCTGGTCGTGGTGCAGAGTGAGGGCCGTCTGATAAAACCCATTTGCATACTTCAAATACAAATTAATTTCACAAATTTAAATTCTGAGCGATGTCGATCTCTCAAAAGAAAGAATGAAAGAAATGAAAAACTCGGGGAAAGAGTTTATTTATTCTGACTTCTGACTGGGGAGAATATAATCCGAGCACCGCTATAATTGAAGTAGAAAATTGACTTTCTTTTTATTATTTTTTTCGTTTTAACAAAAAGGTGGGACTTCTTTCAGAAGAATAATGTTGAAGGATATAAAGGAAACGGAATTAAATAAGATTGAAAAATTAATAAATCATTTAAGAAACCGATTGCTGGCAGACGACAAGGGAAGTCCAGATTAATATGCTTTCAGCGTTGGATTTTCAGATCTCGACAAAGGTTTTTTTGTGTGATTTGATGAAGAGATCAAAATTAAACAGCTCAATATTGATTAATTATTTGAAATTAAAAGCGATTAAAAGTATTCATTTTATAGACATTACTTCTTAAATCCAGACTAACGTATAATTAAAAACAAAAATGGTTTATAACAAAAACATTTCTTACTTTTAAAATATAATTTGAAGATTTTCTATCATATATAAAACTCATCATCATCAATTCCTGAACAAAATGAATGAGATTCTGTTGTGCTTTTCTGCTCGTGTGTTTAGTAATACAAAAACATCCTGCTGCTTTTCTGTGTATATAAGCACCATTAGTAAAACAAAGTTTCATATTTATGCAATGCTCAAGGAGAATTTTCACTTCAACAAACATGAATTGTGAACTTATTCAACAAAACAAGTTTTGTATTTCCCATTCTTCATAAAGTAAACTGAATCGACTTGACCTTTTTACGCATGTTGACGGGGAATAATAAACAAAATTGAAACTTTTAAAAGGTCATAAAACGGCATGTCTCGGAAAAAGTGTTAAAAAGGAAATCCAATTTGCCATTCCTGAGTGACAGCGGCACCAAACCTTCAGCTCCATTTGACAATCTCTCCGTCTTATCGCGAATAGTCTCCGTCTGCGAACGCAAAATCGATAGCGAGCCACCCTCCGAGCAGAGGGCGGAAAGTGCAGGTGCAGCGGTAGTTGTAAAATTTTACTGCTTATGATCACTGCCAAAGGGGCAATAAGAGAACCAGAGACGCCGGTGCTCGGGTAATAATTCTTTTATCTTGTTAATGCCGCGCGTTTTTAGAGGCCGTAAATAGGCGAAAAGAAGCAAACACTGTTTTGCGTGGAGCTTTAACGCGAGGAGTGAATGTTGCACCCCCGTCTGCCGCCGCTCCCACATATTTTCTTTCTCCTGGGACAATTTGCAGCTAAAATAACGCCGAGTGCATTGTTGCGGTGTGGCCGGAATGGATGAGAAAAAGCTGCAAATTTAGTGGCAGGGCCTGGCTTTTCAATGCGACCCGGGCCAATTTCTCCCCGCTGGGGTGCGAGCGCGGCAAATTGCTTTCTGCCTCTTATTTTCTTCATACGAGAATAAACAAGGCGTCGCGCTGGCAAATAAAACATATATGCGCTCTGCCTCTTTTTTCTCTCTCCGGCTGTGAAATTTTTATCGAGAATTTCGCGAGAGGGAGAGAGAGAGGCGCAATTTTCTTCTGACGTGCGTGTATCCAATCCCTTCCCTTTTCTCCAAAATTTTGTCACCTTCTCTCTCTGCTGCAAATGTACGAGTTTGTTTTGCGTGGATCAACGAAACGAGACGGTTGTCAAGAAATGTTTGAGAATCCACTGCCTCCACTAAAATTTTGACAAAAGATAATGGTTTGAAAGTAAATTGTCGCTTTCATAACTATCATAAATATTTTAAATATTTGGAATTCTATATTTTTGAAAAATAAAAATTCTTTTCAGATAAAAACAAAATTAATAAAAAGAAATTTTCAAGTCAAGAAAAACTGGAGCATCGCAGTATAAATAATAATTATATTCTAATTTGTGGTTCATTGCGTACTGTTTACGCAAATTTTTTTGTTTAAGGAAGGAAAAAAATATATAATGTTTATAAAATAACAAACTTAAAAATTTATTTAATTTTAATTTTTAATTATGTAGAATTAAATTTTTTTAAATTTTTTTTTATTACATTGCAATCATTTTTACGCGTTATTAAACCTATTTATTTTCAATACTATTTATTGCTGATTTATTGCATATAATAATAGTCAATAAAAAATAAATAATAAGGTGTTTCATTCTAGTTATTTTCAGTAATAGTCATTAAATGATAATTGGAATGTTCTTCCGGATAAACAATGTTCACGTGATTGCAATTGCAGTCAGTTA